CTTTACAAAACAATGTGTTTTGGTGGTTTTTTCCAAAAATAAATGTTCGAATGGATTGATAACAAAACGGATCGAGAAAATAAAATTCCAAATGCATTGTACTGGCGCACTGGGCAAGAGTTTGCACCATCAGTTACCTAGGTATAAAATAAATCATCCATATAAGTTAAAAGTTTAATGAAACTACAAATTTATGGATTTTATATTTTGCTTAATTTTGCTATACATATATTATGGACAAATATATGAGACAAATTCTAAGTTAACGGAAAGTACCTACCTTGTAGGTTTTCAAGCCATATAGCTCTACGTACCTAATATGTAAAACTCAAATTACATTCAAATACGTGCCATAACTGTAAACTATTCTATCTTTTAGTTGCTTTAACTTAGCAGTTTCATTTAGATAATGTAGGATGTTCAAGGGATTGTAATTCATATTAATTTCAACTAAGGCCAACGCGCTTTATTTAAAGAAAGGGTTAACGATAAAGGTTTATTTGTCTTTTTTCAACCTGAAACGGAACCTGAAAACTCATCATTGATGACATGATGTTTCGATACGAATTATTAAATAAATATGACAATTTACAATTACAATAGCACATCAAAAAATAATAGGTCAAAATATTAAGACTTGCAACTAAAGCCCTAAGAGGAATCAAGCAGAAATATTAATAAAATTCAAATACACTTCAGAGAGGAACTAAAGTGAACAGTAATAAGGGCTTATGAACAAAGTATATATAGTTTCTAGTCATAGCAAAAGTTTAAGCTGCATATATAAAGAAATTATTATAATTATATATATTAATAACAGGCCTGGGGTGGAGCAGTACCTGGCTGTTGTACATTTTGTACAGACCTAGTTTGTTCAAAACCTTTTTTACCTAGAAATTTACGTAGGTGATTTTCGACAGTAATAGTAAGCCTTGATCTATCGCTATTATTAAATATATAAATATTTCCAACACTACACCAATTAGCCTAGCCCCAAAGCACTGTAAGGCTTGTGTTATGGGATACTAGGATAACGGATAGAATACATATATAAGTATATTTATGTAGAAATATATATTAAACAGCCATGACTGGAGTACAAATGCTCGTATTCATCACACAAACATCTGCCCCCGCCGGGATTCGAACCCAGGACCTCTCTAGTCGGCGACACCATGAAACCCGGCGTACAAACCACTCGGTCACGGAGGTCGTCAATTATTAAGCCATTAAGAAACGTATAAACGGAAATGGGTAAAATTAATGAGAACCTTTATTATTAATCCAAACATATTCAATACTCTTAAAATAAAGCGGTCGTGCGTAACCCAATTTAAGATAGGACTTGTATAATTTGGTTCTTGAAACTAATAGGTAATCTTTAAACTTTCGCAATGGTTGGGCACTGGATGGATAACGAAAGTATAACTGTTTCAAATTCTTCCATGCCCCAGAATCTTCTACCGTTGATCCTGGCTGTTACCTTACCTTGGGCTCACACCCAAAAATACAAACTACGCGTAGAAGTTAATTAGCGTAGAAGGAGAATGTCCAGGATCCCTTGGCCGACGTTGTCACTTCTCGTTAATGTTATTTTTTGGTGGAAATGTTTTCGCTTTGGGTTTATACCGTCCATTGTCATCTGGCACCTTGACTGTCCGCTTCTTTAGCACTGGCGATGACAATATGATGATGATGATATAACGGCATAGCATTAAATGTATTATGTAAGCTAAGCTGTAGCTAAATGCTCTAATGAGTCAGAATAAAGCAAAAATTCAGAAACTAACCCCTTATTATCAACCTGGTGATTTTCAAACTATCTGCGTGTTTATTCTTAGTCCAATGAAGTCATACTGCCTATGACCCTTATCACTAATGCAGGTTTCCTGTACCTACTTAATATTAGATGGAGAAGAAATCGATAAATTATTACTTCGAAAACTGTATAGGTAGTAGGTATATCTTTATATATATAATTCTTCTGTGAGTGTGTATGTCACTGAACTTCTCTTAAACGACTGGACCGATTTTGATGAAATTTTTTGTGTGTGTTCAAGGGGATCTGAGAATGGTTTAGATTCACAATTTTATCCGCTGGACAACCCCTATTTTTTTAGGGCGGTACGAAGTTCGCTGGGTCAGCTAGTATAGGTATATACTTAATCTACTACAATAGTGGATACTAAAGCTGAATCCCTCGATAAGAAAAAATACATTGCTATTTTATTTTGCGCATCAAACAGTGACATAATTCAGAAGTTCCAAGTGTTTAGAGATAGACATTCACATTGATGTTTACATAATTTATTATTTTTGTTATCATCTGTTCATATGCACTCATAATGACAAAACGTATATTACGTATTTATCAGATAGGAGTAAGCTGTCTTTTACTTATTTATTAAAATTATGTTTGACGCAACATAAAAACGGGATCCTGTTCCTTGCTGACTTCCAAGTTAATTTGGTAAAGTTGGTAGGTAATCAGGATCCAATGAAAAAGGATCTAACATGATACTAGCCAATGGATGTTCTGAGATTGAAGGAATCTAAAATAACCCTCAAACCTACTAAGTACCTACATTAAAATAAAATCACATTTGAAAATATACATCCACCATATTTTTCATATTAGTGATGATAAAGCAAAGAAACTCACATGCATACATGAACTCTGAAACTTTACAGTTCGTTTGAGTAGATCGTACAATTTGCATACTTGACGTGACTGATATTTTGTATGATCGCAAGTAAATTGTTATCGTTATCTTGGATCAAAACAATAATGGTGATATGTGTGGAGTTATTTACTTACTTTTTGAAGAGTTCTAGCAGCATTTTATCTGTTTTCATTGCGCAAATCAGTTTCTAAGTGAACAATTAGACTTGTCGGTTATAAACTGTGATGCTAATTTTCTAGCTTACACATCGAATACTAAAAAAAACACGCGGACCAGGCAGAACGGGACTTCTGAATTATGTCCCGTCCGCTGCCTGGCCCGCGTGGATTTTTTTTTCTAGAAAAACTTTTCTTTAGATTTAAACATCTAGCAGTTAAATGCTTAAAAAAGAAACATAACCACATTTTTTTTTACTTTCTTATAGTATTTGATGTGTAAGTTCGATTTAAAAATAATGTGGTTTTTATAAAAGCATGATGCAAGTGAAATTTTTAATATTATTAATGAAAAGTCATTCCTCTGGTGGGAACCGAACCCGGGCCGGATTAGGCTACACCTTGAAACCCGACGTGCATACTACTCGGTCATGTCGTCAAAATATATTATCATCATCAGCCTATTAATGTCCCCACTGCTGGGGCACAGGCCGTCCCTAAGGATGGAGATTGGGCCATAACACACCAGGCCCAGTGCGGATTCGTGGGTGCTAACGACTGCAGATGATGCAGGAATCGATTGATTAACGTGACTTCTGAAGCACGGAGCAGCTCGAGATAGTAATTTTTTGGTCACCTATCCAATGACCGACCACCAGTGAAAATTCCTTAACTGCAACGATCGCAGCCGAACGCACTAACCACTTGCGCCATCAAGCTCCTCCTACTTGAAATATTGCTTTAATTAGTCCTTCCATTTATATATAATTTTAATAACTCGGTTTTACCGTAAACACCACCGTGAGGAATGACCCACCACGTCATCCCAGTGGGATTTGTTGGGTGCTATGAGCCGAGCCCAACGGTTTAACGTGCCCTTCAAATCTCAGAGGAACTCGACATAAGAAATTTACTTGAATTGCAAAATTAACAAAAAGCTGGCCAAGTTGTACCATTTAAATTCTAATATATAAAATTCTCGTGTCACGGTATATAAATGCATAATTGAACTCCTCCGAAACGGCTCGACCGATTTTCGTGAAATTTTATATGCATATTCAGTAAGTCTGAGAATCGGACAACATCTATTTTTCATCCCCCTAAATATTAAGGGTACACTTCGATTTTATTTTTCTACAATATTTTTATTTTTTTATGATACACCATAAAAAAGGTAGGTTAAATTCTCACTCTTCTACCACCCATATTTTTATGACTATACGAAGTTCGCTGGCTAAGCTAGTAGGTATGTATATAATAGCAAACAAAACAGTTTTTTACAAAAATAAAAACCGACTTTATAAAAACAAAAGTACTTAAAAGTAAAAATAATACAAATGTAATTCTTTACTCATATTAACATTTGGTGTCGGTGTCATGACAACCCAACCAGTAAATGGCAAGTCAGATCTATCAACATTCCTCCGAATATTTAATTCAAAGCACGGATAAATAATAATATGTATTTTGAATAATCTATGAGGGAAAAAAATACCTTGTATTTTTTTCTATTTCATTACCATAAGCAAAACTATGGATTTTCCATTTTCATAACTTAAAAAATAGTGGGATCCCAATATTTATAATTATACAGTTGCATACAGTATGTCACAATATTTATATACTTTATTTTTGCGATAAAAATTAGCTTAGCTTTGTACGTGGCGTTCGTCCTTTTTTAGTGTATAATAAATGACAAAATTAAGTTAATTATTTAAAATGATTAAATATAAAACATTGTTTTCCACTTTCTGTTTTTATAAATTGAAAACCTTGATATTTATTTCTTACCGCCGACTTTAATTGCTCACATTCGATATTAGATATGCTAAATAAGTATTCGATAAAGACGGTAGAATAAAGTATTTCTCGCCAAAAAGTGACTTTCATAATCAAAAATCGCGCTCTACTCATATAAGTGTATTTACATCTTCTGTAATTATTCTAATATTGTAGAATATAAACTGTTCGTGAACTTTAACAATCCATAAAAAAACCTTCAAGATACAATAAGTAGACTTTCCACAAAGTTATAAAGTGTACTTTCTTCCCTTTCCAAGTGTGTCTTTAAAGTAGCATCCTGCTTGTCCTCAAGGACAGTATTTAAGGCACCTGTGTCCCACAATATTGTGCATAATGAGGACCACATAAGTGAGAGCAGTGTGTTGTGATTTGCAGATGCTCTCGGTTCAAGCGCCGGGGTGCGCGGGCATGGAGCGGCTGGGCGCGCCGGGGGGACCGCGCCTGCGGCACGACAGTTATCACCATTCTACATTGTGAGTAAACCTTTTTATTCTCATATCTGGAAAAGGCATGACTCCTATCCCGCCCACCAGGGAATTCTTCTCCTCGCTCATTCCATCCAGCGCTAAGACTCGGCGTAATGAGCAGGGCCCTTTCAGCTTACCTAAAACCAGACAACTACTTCTGCACCGGTCACCCGACATGCACTGCGAGTGACGAGTGTGTAGGTGTGCCCGTCAAGCCACATTAAGAAGGGCTACGCACCCGCCAGTTTCATTGTAATTACACATACTTCTCACCCCCATTTTGATATAAAAGAGGTCCAATAAATATTCCACCCCACCCGATGTTGATGTAAGTTGCGTTCCGCTGCGAAGACCACCACCTGGTCACCATCTTTTAACCAGCTTTTCCATAAAATCACTTAACTTATGCCTCTGCATGCGCCTACTACTATTAATAGCGGAAGAGCTCGACATCCTCCTTCCACTGTCGAGCTATTCAAATGTAATCTATTTTTTTTTCTTAAAAAATCGTTTCTCTTTTTTTCTCTTACACAATATGTTTTCTTGCTTTTTTTATTATGATACGTAAGGTCACGCAGTTTCCCAAATGACCTACCCACCATCTCCATTGACTAATTTAAGGTATTGCCTAGAAAACTATTATCCTTATTTTTTTACTTAAAATCTGAGTAAGTGACTCTGTCCTGCCCACGTGTTATAAATATGCTGATGAAGCTGATACACGTGCCTCAATAGGAGCAGTCACCTTCTCGGCCTACATAGAGTTAAAAACTATATTCGACCTCCGTGGCTAAGTGGTATGTACGCCGAGTATCAAGGTGCGACACCTACTCGCGACCTACTCGAGAGGTCCCGGGTTCGAATCCCGGTGGGAGCAGATGTTTGTGTGATGAATACGAGCATATGTACTCCAGCCATGGATATTCAATATGTATATAAGTAAATATGTATCAGTATATGTATTCCATCCATTACCCTAGTATTACATAACACAAGCCTATAGTGCTTACTTTGGGGCTAGGCTTATTGGTGTGAGTGTTGGAAATATTTATTTATACCATTGACGATACCAATTAAACTTTTCAGGGAATGGGAGAAACAGCAAAGGCTACAAGCAATGGTGGGGCGTATCCAGGAAATGGTGGAGCAAGATGCGCGCGCGCGGTCCGCCGCCGCGGCGGAGCGGCTCGGTCTGCCGCCCAGCATACAGTTGCCCGACGGCGAATACGGCCAGGACGCACACCTACAGATACGAGTCCCTTATCAGGTGCGTAAATCAGCGTTGACTTAGTTCTTCTCACCCGTCCTTCTCTCACACTCTTCAACCACGAAATAGAAAGTAGCCAAAAGAACCCTTTGAACCTTGTGAATAATTCCCTAAATTTACCACTATTGATTTTGGCATCCCAAGTTGCGAATAAATTCCACTTAAAAGTGCTTGACAATGGCTGTAAACGTAACGTCAACGTGTGTATGACAAAAATATCGCTTTAGTTTGAACCGACTCTGCTTGAGAGCGGTGGTTATGTCCTATGTGCTTTGACAGCGTAGATCTGTCCTTACTTCATCAGCGTTCATCTCATTCATAATGCCTCTTTCGACCACTTCCACAACCACCTACAGCGGAGGTTCTTTATCTTAATTTGTTTACTGCAAACAGATTATCAATTCAATCTGTTCTTCTTCGCCTACCTACATCATTGGCATTATTAAATTTTACAAGCCCATGAACAAAAACTATGAGTATTACAGTTAACAGTTTACACCAAAGTGAAGTGACTCACCCTGGGTGAAAATTGCATGATATTATGAGAAAGAATCGCATATCACTGCTATTAATTTTCTTTGGATCCTTGCCGCTCCCTTGTGGTATTCCAGCATCAAAAAATTACCGCTCACGTAGAGGCAGAATAACTTACATGATGAATCTGATAACATATGGGTGATGCAACTATTTCTCCTATTCATCTACTTCCTTACTGTATCACCTTTAATTATGCAGGATTCCTTCAAAATCATTCACTATCATTCTCGCATATAGTTACGAGTTACCTATCAGGTATTTATTAGGTATCTTCATCTTTTCATTCAACTTCTCTCTCTCTCTTCAGCGGTTCTCAACAAGATGTCTAAAGTAGAACTTCCTCCAATTTTGTTGATTCGGTGCAGATGCGTTCAATCATTTCCTGCAAAGCTTATCAACTTTATCTGGAAATTGAATCCACATTTTTTTACCGCCTCGTTCTTAATAAATGTAAATGCTTTCTTGTATATATAACTTACCCCCATGCATGCCTTGATGCAACCCCGGAAGGTTTGAAAATATCAAAATCTGTGCATTAAATTAATTTTAATAGTACTACGTTACGTAACAATTCAATGGCTGGCACAGATTGTGTGTGTCTAAGGCCGAAAAAATAGCGATAAGCTATAGAAATTATCACGCACAGTCGAGAAAATTATACGACTAGTGCGATATCAATACAAAGCTATATAGTAGCGAGGGCATTATCACACACATTGTAACATGCATTGTAAGTGTGATATGCATGCTACTCGAACTCGAAGTTTCGATTACAATTATAAAGAGATGCACGTACGTAATAAAAATGTAACGACAACTAATGAATTTCACCATTTTCTCGCTTAACATTTCAGGCATTTTGAGAAGAAAATGCTTTTGAAACAAGTCATATAGCGTTTTAGTACCTTAACAATGTTTTTATTAACGTAAAATAATAGTAAAGTAACAAAAACGCGATATCACTATTATTTTACCAAATTATGATTGTGCGAGAAAACATGAGAAATTAATATGTATCTGAAATGTAGCGTCATATAAAATTTTAAGACTTTATTAACGACGCAAAAACAATTACAAATTCCTTGTATTCTGCTTTTATATTATCATTTTTATCATTTAAGACTTTAATTTCAATCTACTAGCACCTATATCAATTCAAATATTTATCTTCTTAATATCTTAACACATGAAAATACTTTGTAGATGCTATAATAATCTACCTATTCTACTACCAACACCATACCCTTTTGTTTTTTTTGTCTGGGAAATGCCTTACGCATCTTTCAACCACCTGCCCCTCTAGCATGACCACCGAAACGGGATATGATAAAGCGATATATCGACATTAACTGTCAGTCTACTATGGAGTTTGACAGTAGTCAGTAGCGAGAGGAAGGTATGTGGGACTCCTCCCTGCTCATTTCAGCCAGCCCTTAGACCGGGTGAAATGAGCAGGGCCCTACCTAACGCCCTGAACAGGGCCACTAAAAGCCAGACAATACTTCTGCACCGGTCACCCGGCGTGCATTCTGAGGACCACAGTCCCCCCAATGCACGCCGGGAGTGCGGGTGTGGTCGCGGCAACCGTTGCCGACTGTCCGCGCAACCAACACCATACCCTTGATTGTTTTCCCTGAAAATTACAAAAGAGGCTATCCCGTTCGAAGTGTACCTTCTCTTCGTGTTACATACAACCAAATTGCTGTATCTTGAGATACTGTTGTATTCTATGGCAGTAAGATTGCCTAAACTTCACTGGGTGACGGGGTAGGACGAAATACAGTCAGACTAGGAGAAGATGGCTAATACGGAACATATCTCTGCTGAATTAGCCACCAGGTGGAAACCGTGATTGCCGACCGACATTATATTTATAGTCGAGGGTTCTCAAAAACCCTCTCATTTAACACCACGTACAGTGTGTTCGACAAGAACATGACAGGCATATTTAAAAAAAAAATTATGCAGTTTAACAAAATAAATATAAGGTTGAATAGAATAATCCTTTTTCTAAAATGCTTTGTTTAAATAAAATAATGCTTTCCCTCCATTTACTTGCTAAAACAGCACTGTGAAGAAATACATCTAATTTCTGAAAAAAATAATTAAAAAAGGCTGCATTGGGCTGCATGCGAAAACAATTATCATATTTGGGGGAGGATATTTTTTCCACTGAAGCCTATTTTTTACAGCCGGTTATTCGGTTCAAGCTTGGGCTACGGCTGTTAATAACCTGGTGGTGCGAACCATGAAACAGCTAATAAAGGTGCATACTTGAGGATGCTTCTCTAAATAATTTTCAAATATTTGCACACGTTTATACCGGTAATTTGTATGCACAGAAACACGGAAAAGCGATAATTACCATCGGCTCATATGATATTATTATTTCCATGCCAAATTATGACTTGTGGATTTAGCACAGCATGAGGATAATGATTCTAAACACCGAATTCGACTCTATACGCCTTCGAAACCGAAAACGAGTATTGACATGTTTAATTGGTCCTCACCGTGCCATGATACATATATTCCATACATATATTCCAATTGAGAATGTTTTGACGTGGATTTAGCTTAAACTAAAGGCAAAAAAATACAGATACCGTCACTGACTTTACGAATCGGTAGTCATTTGGGACCGGGACCGGAGGTCCTGATGGGGACATGGAATTAAAAAATTATTTTGAAGTGGTATTCGGGACCTCGATGGAGATATTTACTTTGCAGCTTAGCTGAAAAACTGGCGGAAAGTAAGCCGCAAAGATATCAAATGATTATAGACATTACTGGAGATTGGATGCCTAATGATGCATCAAACATCAGTAAAATAAAAATACCAATTAATTACAATTTATCGTTTTTAAATTCCTACGTTTTTTTATAAAATATACCTCTTTTCATACATACCTACTTTATTTATCTTGAAGTTCATTTAACTTAGTTTTGGTGGTTTCCAGCAAGCCGAGCTGACGACAAGCAGCTTCCAGCCTCCGCCGAACAAGTGCGTGAGCGACGTGCCAGAGTGGGCGGGCGCGGCGGAGGCGACGGCGCGCGGCGCGCGGGGCGGCGGCGGCGGGGCGGGGGCGGGGGCGGGCGCGGGTGCCGCAGCGGCCGCCAGCAAGAAGGATGGGCTGCTGCAGAAGGCGACGCGGTGGTGGGTGCGCATGGGCACGCGGCCACCGCCCCCCTTCCTGGCGGCCACGGCGCCACCGCCCTGCGTGATGGTGCCGCGCCGCGCGCCGCCCTCGCCGCCGCCGCCGCCCGACGCGTGACCGAGCCGCGCGTACCACACCACGCTTACATTCCATTGTCGGGACGATGACGCGGGCCGCGCCGGGCGGCGCGCGAGGCCTCGGCCGCGTCGCGTCCTTCGCGCCGTCTGACTTTCGCGAACGCTAAGACTGAAACGGACGATACGCTCCGGAGTCCCCGTCGTCGGAGCGCGCCGTCGTCTCGGGCGAGATTGACTCGGACGACGTTCGATGAACTCTCGATTGTGACCCGCGACGACGTCGTACGCTATGAGGGGCAAGTCGGTCGACGTCGAGCCGACGACGACGTCTCGCAGTGTACTGTTTCATGTTGACGTGACCCGTTTGAAGTTTAATTTCTACCCGGCAGCTGTATATAATGTCTGTGTTTAAACAACTTTTATATTTATTTGTAACCGCAATGTGTGCGGAGGGATGCATATCAATACGGTAAAAGCGAGGAATGTTAATTTACGAAGCATGGTACTATTTAATTGTAAATATTAGGTTAATATTAATGGCCGAACGCCGAATCCGAGGGTCTTTTCGATTGAGTGTTTGCTACATTCCATATTTATGTTGAAATATTCTCGATACTACTCACTGTACTGTACACGCCACACGCCGCTTGTCGCCTGCAATAGTGGTCCTTCTCGCCCTACTACTGAACTCACTCGTATTCCGCGGATGTATTGTCGTGCCGACAATAGGTAAATGATTAGTGAGTGATATTAGAATGCAATTAAATAGAAATCTCATTAGGGAATAGACGTTGTTTAAATTAAAACATTGGTTGACTTAGTTTTAAATTAGGTACTTATGTATTTATTATTTATGTTATTATAAAGCCTCGTATCCATTCTGATGCAAAAGTAGTGCGAAACGAGCGACCCATGGGTTCTATAATGTCTGTCACATCACATTGAAAAAACCGTCGAGAAAAATGACTATTTATTAATATATATAATAATAAATATTTCCAACAATCACACCAATTAGCCTAACCCCAAAGTTAGCACTGTACTAGGGTAACGGATAGAATACATATACTGATACATATATAAGCATATTTAAGAAATACATATTAACACCCATGACTGAAGTACAAATGCTCGTATTCATCACACAAACATCTGCCACCACCAGGGATTCGAACCCGGGACCTCTCGAGTAGGCGAGACCTTCAAACCCGGCGTACAAACCACTCGGCCATGGAGGTCGTCATAAAGGCATACGTTGCATAGTGAATACGAGGCTTAAATAATTGAAACACACATTGTGCATTATTTGTTGAGAGTATATATTAATTCAGCATAAATATTTATATATATATTAAATTAAACAATTTTAATAAAAATGCACAATGTGTGCAACTAATGTGGAGACTTGAGAGATTATTCTTCAAAGCCACGTCTGGACTATGATTGTAATAATTATTATACTAGATAGGTAAAAAAAACATTAATAACATCATGGAAGTTTTATTGTAAACAAATTGGGATATAGCTTCATAGTTCATATTGAGTGAACCGAACTATACTGAAACAGTAGGTAGTTATCCATAAATCGCGTAGGCCTTGCAATAATTCTTTATATCATAATAATATTTACTCGCCATATAACTTATGGATAACTACGTATATTTATAAATATATAAAGATATATTATGTTCCGTTTCCAACCAGAAAAATAAAGATTGCCCGAAACCGTGCCTTGAAAGCTATAAAAATCGGTTGACACTTTCATAACTGTGCATACATACAAGTACAAAATCATTTGCATTTGCGTTTGAGAGAGTTCATTTAGTTACCTAATTAAGTTATTTAAATTAATAAATATGAAGTTTATTTTTCTGGACATATCTTGTATTTATTTACTTTGTTTCAATCAAATATTAAATCAATTCGAAAGTTAGAACATTAAGAATTATGGTAATATTGCACTGATTTGTCTATTTACATGTCGAATATAACTATTTTTTTTTATTATTATGTAAAATTTATCTCAAGGTGACAATAAATACTATAATAAATACCTACTATGTCATATTTAGCCTCAATTTGTTATGTTCCTTATGGATCATAAGTTTGTGTAAAATATATTATTTAATAAGCAGCTTAGTTGTCCAGACGAGGTTATTCATGCCAATAATTAGGACTGAACTATGCCATTCATTGTTCGGAGTAAAATAAATAATTTATTATTTGGAAACCTTAAGATGAGTCAATTTTATAGAAAAAATATAACAATACTGCATCATCCTATTTATACGGACTTTTGTGAAATTTTATGTCTTTCTGTACATTCGAAGGAGTTGCTGGTGTACCACTTTTAAACTATATTTGCTTGAAACAACGCGAGGAATCTCTTCTATTTGTCATCTAGGGCAATCGCCACCAACTTGTTCGATTGTACATTTACCGTTTCGTTTCGACACCACTATATCCTCACGGGTTTACAGCTTGTTGAATAGCCACTCGTATATTAAGGTGATAATAAAATTGAGTTGTGCGATATATATAAAAGAGTATGTTTATGACTGTCTCGCTGTTTGTCCGAGATGATAAGTAGAAAATCAATACTTGTGCAAAATGCTGACAAAATATAAAAGTTGTTTAAAGTAGTTTCACAGAATAGATTTATAATCTAGACGCAAACAATATTCCATTTGTCATATAAATAAGTAAACGCAGAAGCAAATGTTTAATAATAAAAAAACTGCATTAAATTATGACCTACCAATAATGAAAACTTGATTTTAATTCCTGCATAATAACGTACCTACTACCTATCCAATATTTTGAAATGGCTTATGACATAATTTAATACTTATATAAAATTCTCGTGTTACGGTTTGCGTAATTGAACTACTCCGAAACGGCTCGACCGATTTTCGTGAATTTTTATATGCATATTCAGTAGGTCTGAGAATCGGAAAACATCTATTTTTCATCCCCCTAAATGTTAAGGGTGGTCCAGCCTTAAATCTTTTTTTTCGGACAAAATTTTGTTTTTATTTTTTAACGATACATCGTACATACGTACGTAAAAAAATACATACATCTCTAAATTTTCACCCTTCTACCACCAACCCCTATTTTTTTATGGCGGTACGGAGTTCGCTGGGACAGCTAGTACCTTATAAAAAAATATGGGTGCGTGTACTTAAGTACGCGCGTGAGAAGTTATACTTCTTTTTGGAATTATTAAAAAAATAGTTTTTAATTGCATGCAGATAATTAATTACAATAAGATAATAAAAGGATTGGAAAAGGATAGTCAACGCAGTCAATAAAGTTCAGTTTTAATTTGAAAAATTTAATAAATAATCAAAATATTCAATTTAAATCACTACTGAATAAAATTTATTAGCACATATAAATTTCGCATTTGTATAACATTATAACACGTGTTAAGAATATAGAAACTAGAAACATGTGGATAAATATTATAAATACGAAAACAGTGATCAGAGGCGACGAGCGTCCCAACATGTGCGACTAAGAGATCCTATTACTATTTTGTTGGAAGCTTTTTTTCGAGACTTACGAGTAATGTGCGGTTTAGCGGCCGACTTCATGGTGTTACTTTTCTGTTACAGTGTTACGCGCGCATCTTAAAATTTCACTCTCATCATTTTTTCATAACGCGCCCGCGGCTAACTTCATTATGTTACTTTTGTGTTACAGTGATGCGCGCGCATCTTAAAATTTCACTCTCATAATTTTTTCATAACGCGGCTAAAGAAGTATAACTTCAAAAATCCCCTAATTATTTACTCTAATAAAAATACGTGAAAATATGATTGAAATATTAGGTCTTCATCTATGAAATTGCCGTTTATCATGAAATAAGTCAGCGCCTATTTTTCTATATATCTTATTTTTATTAATGCAATGCAACGTAGTGGTAGCTTATTGATGCATTTTTTGAAAAAGTCTGCTAGACGGGAGGCAAAAAATTCTTCAAAGGTATTTTGAACTGCCTCTCGGTTATTGAATTTAACAAAAAACAACAAACCAAACTAAGCACCTAAGGCTGGTGTTACGGATATATTATGATACATGTATAAGTATATTAATATATATTAAACATCTATGACTTGGGACCAAATGCTCGTATCGTATTCATCACACAAATATCTGCCCCCACCGGGTTTGAACCTGGGAGCTATCGAGTAGGCGATACCTTGAAACTCGGTACATGCTACTAGGCCTCGGAGGTCATTAAAAATAATTTGTATTCTTAGCGAAAAAAGAAAAAAATATCTTGAAATAGCCAGTATACGGCAAAACGGCAATTTCATAGGTAAAGACCTATTACACACCGCACACAGGAAACAACAAGGAACACAGGAAAGGTGCACCAAAACCAAGAATTTTGAAAAAGGCCGTTGAGAAAGAAAAATTTGGGAACCTCTGCGTAAAAGCAAAAATCTTTTATCTGGCATAAAACGACAAAAAATAATAAAATTAGTCCTTTACTTTTAAATCTAAAGTACAATTAACAACAGTTTTATTTTTACAAACTCACTTTTTATTAGTATTGATAAGAGTATAGTACTGTTAATTTTTACCTCTTTGTAAGTCTAAGCAAAATCAGCTAAGTTTTCACACTTGGCCCGATTTTTAATGGGTCGGTTTATAATTTATTTAACTAACAGTCGCCTAATGCAATGTACTAAACATCTTTGACGAAATACTACCTATCCCGATTAAAAAACGTTCATTGTAGTAGAGTCCTCCTGGTAGATATTTCATGTTTAGCTCCACCTCACTATATTTTGTGAATATAATTTTTTTAGCAAGTAAATCAAAATAATCATGTCGCTACTAGCTGTTTACTTTCTAGCGATTAGTAGATAGATACCTTTGGCTATCTGTGGTCTTCATCACCAACTCCACCTCGCCGGATAGTACCTACTTTGCGATTGTAAATAGACGACTTACTAGAATAATACCTACATATCTAAATTATTAAGGTTCATTATATTTTTCCAGCATCACATCATTAGTTCTTGACTTAAAGACCACGGGATCACCTGCGAAATATGCATCTTCATAAAATAATAATTTTCCGAAATCGATACACTCTTCATCGAGTGATCGGGATAAGTATATTTAATTTTATGAAAAAAAGGTAAATTTAAAAAATCAAAAAACCCGACTGCTTAATTATTCTTCAAATAAAAACTGAAAAGAAAAAAACAAGTCCAGTAGTCTATAATTCTGTTAATAAGGAACAAAGCTACTTTAACAGTCGGGACCCATTAGATATTCAAGAATACATAATATTTTTCAACAGTGGGTCCCGACTGTTAAAGTAGCTTTGTTCCTTATTAACAGAATTATAGACTACTGGACTTGTTTTTTTCTTTTCAGTTTTTATTTGAAGAATAATTAAGCAGTCGGGTTTTTTGATTTTTTAAATTCACCTTTTTTTATTTCACACTTTGTAGTTAGTATTTTTAAGACGGTATATACCGTAGTCTTGTTACTTCAGTAAGGGAATTAATATCGCGGGAATTATTAAGTACCTTGCGTCGGTCTAAAAGATTGATTTGTTAAGACATATAAATAGTTTACCAGCGGGGTCAAGGCTACAGATGGGCTTCAATTTTCGCAAAAATGTGTGAAGTTAAATCAAGTCGTTACATAAATATCTCTAATGTATATAAATTTTATAGTAAACTAGCACTTACTCAAAAAGTCATCTTTTGTTTATGTTTTTTTTTAATAGTTTAGCAGTAAATTACTTTTATTCGTCGACTATTTAAAATTGGCAGTGGCTGCATTGTCATGTCAATGCCGGACGTCGAAGATTGTGATATACACAAATTCAGTGTCAGTCCCTAGTCTCATAATTTGATATACCTACATTATTCACAGAAACCCAATATGTAGATGCCAGAAGTTAACTTCGTTGTTTTTAATCACCCTATATACAATACCAATCAATGACGTTTATGTCGCAGGTTGAAGAAAGAAGTAATTCCCATCTGTTGTTTTCGACAATGGTTGCAACTGCCTTACATCACTAAATTAAATAATTATGCAATCACCAAAGCAAAGTTTATAATATTTGATTAAACTAAAGGCGCATAATAAAATTTTCATAACGTTAGGTAGAGCACCATAGCAATCTCATTTATTATCAATTTATAGTTCTCTTTGTAGTTTTCTTTCAAAGCGTTCACATTTAACAGGTCAAAGACTTTGTGTTCGACCCTTTTCTATTGGTAGTGTAAAGCTCGAATGAAGAGTACTCCCAATAGGGCAGTCATGGCAATTATTTTCCAAATTTTTTTTGTTATAAATACCGAATAGCGTATCACTGTTAAGCACAAATGCTAAGTAACTTTTACAAATATAATCAGATAAACCTATTACTTACTTTATTTTTAAATCCTTTTCATCAATTATTTCATCTTATCCTAACTATCTATACTAATATTATAAAGAGGCAAGATTTGTATGTTTGTAACAAATAAACTGTCAAACTACTGAACCGGTTTCAAATATTAATTCATCAAAAAATAATGTAGCTACCTTAATATTATTTTTTATAACATTTTTCTTTATTTAAATACATTTTGTCCGAGTGACATAGGCTATATTTTATCCCGATAAATTAATTTCGCCCGTACAATGCCCGAGTGCATCACTAGTAAGTATAATATAATATTATAGATGCGAAAGTGAGTTTGTTTGTTGCGCTTCCGTGCCCTAATAGCTAAATCGAATTTAATGAATTCCCATATAGAAATAGATGGGAACTTGGTTCTTAGCTACAACATCGCAATACTTATAGGCGTAGGGTGATGAAAGGAGTGATTTACCTATAAAAATCTACATTATTTACTTTGAATTTTGCAGAATTATTACAAAATCAATATTATCGCAAGCTGATTAATAAATACAGGGATTCCAATAAGTATGTACTTACTAGCGAAAAATGGGTTATTTGTCATTATATTAAGTAAACCTTTTTTGTAAAATTAAGTAATATCGTTAAAAAAAATTAAAAACAGTAAAATTCTGAGTTTTTCATTAAAATTCAATAATCATAAATACCTATTATGATAATATATTTTTCATCATTTAATAAGAAGGAACTGTATCACAGTTTTAATGTTAGTACTTCGTATAGGATCAGATACTGCGAATACCCCATTTTTTTTTCTTTTACATAGTACACCGCGCTATCACTTTGTCATCGTTGTAACTTTTTAATATTTGTCGAAATGACATAGTGTAAAAAGCAAAGTTTATCATCTTTAAATATCAAAAGCGATAAAAGTATTTGTTTTGATAAAAAATGATTTGTTAATACAAAATGTGCATTTTGGAAATAGATATCAAATAATATTTTACTTTTGATTCACTATTTTAGCGGTAACGACTTACACATTAAAAATAGATTTATGGTGTCACGGACTTTTTTAGAACTATTTAAGAGATACATTTTCACTCTACATTACATTCATGTAACTTTTATTGTTTTTGCAGTGCAGGCCAAAATGGCTCGCAGATGGGACATTTTTTTCCGTCTTATGTGACACTTATTGCTATATATTGGCCAATTCACTCAATAACTACATAAATTATTATATATATGTAATTATTATATATGAGCTATATTACTGTTAAGTTTCATTAAAATCCATTCAGTATTTTTTAGGTGAAAGAGTAACAAAAATCCATACAAACGTAAGATTGAAATTAAAAGCGGAAGTGGTTAATATACAACTTT